TTTTCCTTTTTTTTTGCTTAGACTTTTTTTTGTAGCTGCATTCGGAAATTTTATTATCTAGGATTTCTATAAAAAAATTTGTTGCAGATTCTAGTTTAGTTGCGCGATATACTGGTTCCCAGTCAACCGTCTGAATATGCGTCCTAAGTTTATTATAGTCTACTGCTGTATAATTATTCACAAACCGTTCAGTTTCATTAATTTTTTTATCTAGTACTATTTGGAGATATGTAGTATAGTGGTCTGTGAGTTTTGTTGTGATGATAATAGGTAGTAAAAAATCAGTGTCGAATTTAGTTCTAATAAACATGTGATCCAGACAAGATTTTGTATTTTCTGTCACCCTTGTATAATTATTTATCAAAGATATAAATTCAAATTCCCCCATAAGATTCAGGTATTCAATTGTTGATATATCCATATTCTCATCCATTATGTCAATATTTATGTCTCCAAGAAAGAGGAAATAATCTGCCTTATTTTCGCATTGTGTGAGATATGCTTTCAAAGAATTTACAAACAGTTTACAACAATAGGGAGGGTTTTTATACATAGCGAGAATAGATAAACTTCTGTTATTGAAATAAATATGGCAAAAGATCATGTTGTTTTCGTTGCTCAACTTCACTATTTCATATGTGAACTCAAGATTTGATTTAATGAACATCACTACACCATCGTTCTGATTGTACATTCCTTCATTGTATACTATGTTATAACCATCGATGTGATATAAATTCAGATCTTGAATTTGTCTCGTCTCAGTGAGAACAATAACTTCTGGTTTATCATTTAGTTGTTGCAAGTAACATAATAAGTCGTTGAAATTTTTATGTATACTCCGTATATTATTGTGGATTATCTTAAAATTTGCCTTATTGTTGTTTATTTTCACGACTTCATTACATTCTGCCAGGTTAGATAATATTTCTGTCTCAACTGTACTAAATTCAAAATTCTTAATATACTTTTCCATTTTACAGGAGTGACTGAGAGGTTTTTATTTGGGTTCATCAATTCAAAATTTTGCATAAGTTAAGTTTATAAAGTTCATTAAAACATAGAAATTCAAGACTAGTTATTATGCTAAAAACAATTAGTTTGGTTTGGTTATTGATCTGGTTCTTGGCTTACTTTCAATATTGGTTTCTGGTTTATTTTGGTGTTTTGTATGTTTTCCAGTTTTTGATGTCGTTTCTTCTTTGTTCTGTTCACTATTATGGAGCAGGAGTAGATTTTGTGGTATTCTCTGCAACTTTTCCTTTGTTAAAATATTTTTGTTGGTGGGAGTCTCAGATGTTTCCAACGTAAGTTTTGGGTATTGAATAGTTGGCGTTGCTGGAGCACTTTTTGGGGTGGTATGGATATCGCTCGTTTCTTGCAGTTCTTTTGCGTTATAAGCTACTCCATTTACAATTAATTTGTTTCCCCGAATGTAGCATTCATTGGATGTTTCCTGCTTTGCAAGAAGGAGGTGCTTTTTCAGAATTTTTTTCTCTTCTCGCTGTTGTTGGGTGAGGTCCTGAGCGATGGATATTTGTGTACCTCGTAGTTTATTGCAATTTCGGAGTACAATTTTCTTCGTATAGTGGGAGATGAACTCAATTTTGATAGGACAGCTTTCCGTCTTTCCAAGTGAGTAGATGTCGTTGATATGCGTTTCATTCAGATCCACATCAATCAATTCTTTCAGGTCTTTACATATATTTTCAGGAGTTAGATGTTCTTTTCTTTTTTTGAGTCCGAAAACTATAATGTTATTTTTATTCTGATTACGTTTCAGATATTCAATTTCATTTTTTAATAATTGGTTTTCTTTCTCCAATTTTCTGAAATTCAGTTTTACTTCTTCTATGCTCAGTAAGAGGTTTGCTTCTGTCGCTTCTATATAATTTTTTATATGATTTCTATTGTTGACAATATCTTGGTGTGAAGATTCTAGTGTTACTATTTCTGTTCGCATTATTTGAGCAAAACTTTTCTAGTTGTATTAGTTAAAATGACGAGACTATTGGTGGGATAGTTCTACACTGGCACGTATTTTATCAGTTGACATTTATTATTCACCTTTGTTCTTTGTTTACCTTTGTTAATTCCTAACTGAGATGCACTTTAATCACTGTCCACGATGGTAGATCGATGCACTTCCCACTTAATCACACTTTAGGCACTGTTTCGCAATTTATTCCTTGTTCCAATTCGTCATTTGATGCACTTATGAGAGAGTAAAATTTTACGTGTTGTTACCCTATTCCACCAGTTAGTTATATATATAGTCAATTAGTGTCAAACCCAAGGGGAAAACATAACACTGTTAAAGAAAAGTAGCTACGTTTTTATTGATATTTATCTTAACCTTTCGGAGACCACAAATTTTTGTCATCAGAAACGAAATAACCAATTACATCGTACAGTCTGTTCTAAAATTTGTATAATAAAGTTATATAAGTGGGACAGCAAAGCATATCAGGAATAAACAATTAACAGAATCGAAACGCCAGAATACGTTTCGAACCTATGGCGACCCTAGTAGGATGGAATAATATGAAGATGATCACTAATGTAAGATAAAGGTTTAATCTAGTGAGTATATTAAATATTTCTTTCGAAATATTTGAGAAGTGGGAAAGTGGCAATAAACTGATAATTGTGGAATATTGAAGGGAAAGTATTTGGCGTTTTTATTACAAAAATAAACAGATTTTGAGTCTTGATAGGTAGAGTTTGAACCTCTAGCGTAAAATAACTCTATTGAAAACGATATTCAGACAATATAGTAAAATAAAATTAGCAAGATAACTGAAAGCAACGAGTTCTATCTAAAAATTTGTTTTTCTGTTAACCAGCTGTCGCACCCCTACGAACGACAATCCTCAGGAGTCAAAACTTGTGCGAGCTAAGGACTAACGAGGTCTCACCTTTTAACGTGTGATTCCTAACACAAAAACAAAACGAAAATTCAAGATTCATAGTTCTACCATATGAACCAGAATAAAGCAACGGCTTGGTTCGAATTTTTGTAAAATTAAAGTCCAAAGTGGCTTTCGAAACAGCTCGTACACTTGATCAAATGTTAGGTAACTCGAAAGACACGCCAATTGGAAAATACAGTCTAGGATTAACTAAATTAGCTGTGCGGATTGCAATAAGAATTATATTGGTCGGACTATAATAGCTTTCTACGTGGAAGATGTTGAGACCGATACTTGACAAGTGTTTAGTTACCTTCATAAATCAGCGTCCAAAAATCAAACGGACTGAGCGTCAAAGTTCTGCCTTACCCACGAATACTTCCCAGACCTGTCGCCGACCGACTATCAACTTTTCAAGTACTTCGATAACTTTCTCACCGCCAATCAGGACCAGGCAGAAACGGCCTTCATCAACTTCATCGAAATCAGAGCACGCAATTTTTACACTGATGCACGCTTATTTCGATTAAATTGAATAAGTATTCAACGAGATCTTACAGTTTAAAGTAGACTCATGAATACGCACAAAACTTTCGAAACAACTCTACAAACTCATGTAAATAATGTGAAAATTCATTTCATGTACAATCAATCATTCATAAATAATCACATATTTTTATTTACCCTTTGTACGTAAGATGCGCCATTGAGATATTTCGACCTGTTGTTCCTCTGCGATTCATTCACTTTGGCTCCCGGCGGCTGTTTAACCTTCGAACTTATCCGGCGATCTCACGACCCCCGATGATTCATTCCGTATCGTTTCGTTAAATTTAAAAACAAAAAGCCCCGCATCGTAATATACGTGCAATATAATCCATATTTGCCTATCAAATGTTTACGACGTCGTGATTTATGCTCGACCGGTCACGGCCAAGATAAAAGCCAACAAAACGGACGGTAGACGTGACCGCCGTAATCGTCGGAAGATAATCAGTGTTGCTTTCAAACACACCGTATAGGGCGCTATCAGTCGACATTCCAGAATTGTTTCGTGGTTTTTCAAATAAAGTTTGAGTTTGTAAGATTTTCGACAATTTTTGTCTAACATCACCGCCATTGATTTATGTGACGAGATGACAATAGCAATTGATGAATGCCAGTTGCAATCAACGAATGGAAAAATAACGAATGGCAATAGGCAAACTTAGCGAATGGTCTCACACAGTAATTTAACTAATAAAAATATCGGATAGCGAAGTGGCTGTGGAAAAAGTTGACTACCTCCGAACAACGTCTAAGTTTGTAAAGTACTACCAAAACCAAGTATTTTCAAATGGCAAACTTGAAGAATAGCAATAGGCATACTAACAAATGGCAATAGCAATTAACGAACGACAATAGCAATTGACGAATGGAAATAGCCATTAACGAATGGCAATAGAAAAGCAAATTAACAAATGGAAAACTAACGAATGGCATTTGGCAAAGTTAGCGAATGGTATCACACAGTAATTTGCCTAATAAAAATATTGGATAGCCAAGTAGCTGCAGAAACAATTGGCTCTAGTCGAGCAATAGCAATCAAAGGATGGAAATAGCGATTAACGAATGGTAAAGGCAATTGACGAAAGAAAATAGCAATAACGAAAGAAAATAGCAATTACGAATGGCAATAGCAATTAATGAAAGGCAAATTAACCAATGGCAAACTAACTAATGGCAATAGGCAAACTTAAGGAATAGTCTCACACATTAATTTGGCCAATAAAAATATCGAATAGCAAAGAAGCTGTGGAAAAAGTTGGCTTTCATCCCGCAACGTCCAAGTTGCTAAGAACCTACCACAAAAAATGTTTTCAAAGGACAAACTTAACGAATGGCAATAGACAAATTAACGAATTGCAATGGCGGTTGAAGAATGGCAATAGCAAATGACGAATTGAAATAGCAAATAACGAAAGGCAAATTAATTAATGATAATAGCAATTGACGAAAGGAAATAGCGATTAACGAATGGCAATAGCTATTAATGAAAGGCTAATTAACGAATGGAAAACTAACTAATGACAATAGGCAAACTTAAGGAATGGTCTCATACATTAATTTGACCAATAAATATTTCAAATAGAAAGTTGGCTTTCATCCAGCCACGTCGAAGTTGCTGAGGACCTACCATAAAATAATATTTTCAGTGGGTAAACTCAACGAATGGCAATAGGCAAATTAACGAATTGCAATAGCGATTGAAGAATGGCAACAGCAAATGACGAATGAAAATAGCAAATAACGAATTACAATTGCAATTAAAGAAAGGCAAATTAACGAATTGAAAACCAACTAATGGCGATAGGGAAACTTGACGAATAGTCTCGCACAGTAATTCAAGCAATACAAATATCGGATAGCGAGGTAGCTGTGGAAAAAGTTAGCTCTCACCGAACAACGTCCAAATTGGTATTGAGACTATCTGTCTTTGCTTGAAAGTGGTTGATAATGTTTCATGGTAAATTGATGGATGTAGCCGTTATACTACGCGGTAGGAGATCATAATGAAAAGAGAAATGAAAATTTCTGTTTTTTTACCACTTTCAATTGTAACTAACGTTATGGCAGTTTCGTCCTATATGGACATTCTCAAACTAATACAATAAACTTAATACAAGTTTCGTTAGTTACAATAAACTCAATTTATTGTATTAGTTTGAGAATGTTCATATAGGACGAAACTGCAGTAAGGTTAGTTACAATTGAAAGTGGTGAAAAACTGAAATTTTCATTTTTCTTTTCGTTTCATGGCGAATTTCATTAGTTCGGACTTCCAATGTCTAATATGGTACTAATATGATTTGAAATCTCTGAAAGAACAAATAAAATTAAAAATTGAAATGAATAGCTGAAAATAACAATTATATTGAGCAATAAAACGTGAAATGAAATTACCATAAAATAAAAATAAGCAAAAAATTGAAAATTGAACAATTAAAAATGAAATAATAACTAAAAAGATGTCAAACCAAGTTGCTTCACGACGTTTCGATTGTTAGTATCCATAATCGTCAAGTCATCACCCGAAGACGGTAGCATCTTCAATAATATTGCATTTATTATGAGCAGTTGAGCAATTATATGAATATTTTCCTTGATTTTTTTTTTGTATGAAGTGAAAACTCAGATAATACCACTTTCTGGTAAGTGAAGTGAAATAGATGGAATCACAAGGTTACTGTGGAATGGAAGCACTGTTCTAGCAATTTCAAATTTCTCGATTGTAGTAGAAGACTACCTTGGAAATGAGATTCGTCATTGCAGAGGATATCTGTTATCTTTTGCATTATACTATCAAATTATTTCAGTTGAGCAGTAACTATAATTAAAAACTAGACGAGATTTGAAAATGAAACCAGCCAAATATACAACAGACAGCCTCAGAGCAAGTACCTCTATTTTTTTTTGGGGGGAGAACCGGGATAAGACAAATAATATTTATCGACCTCATTTTCATTATCAATCACTTTTGAAGTTATTATTTCTGGACCTGTAACTTTTACAGATTTTTTGGGCGAAACTTTTTCAGAGCATTATAAAAATATTTCATCTTCCACAAAAAATAGCACAAAATTTCTTGTTTTTGTCTTCGTTTTGTATTATATGAGCACTTTCGGTATTTCTAATTGTCTTCATAAAATAGTATCTAATGTTTCGTAATTTATTTGCTAGTGTACAGCTCTAGTAAACAATTAGTCCCCAGATTCGAAGGGTAGAAGGGTTTATCTCAATTCCGAATTTGAGCTTTCTGGAAGGGTTAGTTCCCAAACCCTAACGCGAGCGTTTAA